CTTGAGGTCACACGAGGCCTTCTAGGGCCTCAGAATGTTGTATTGTGAGAAATAAGAGTTAAATTTCCACATAAGTGGATAAGAAATAGCACAGACAGGCTAACTTCTCCATTGGTGGGGAGTGACAACACAATTTTAGGCACAAAATGTACGTTAAGGGGTGGGGATCACATGTATATAAAATATATGAACAGGGCATATAAGGAAGATTGTAACCCAGAAGGATTAGGACCCATCCTGATCCAGAACGGAGGAGTTAGGCAATTACTAACTAGATACCTTGCTCTTTCTCCTGTACTCAGTGTACTCTCCCCTTCCAAGAAGGTACGCCCGCTTCTCCAGAAAAACGAAAGGATGCACTTCAACCTCTTTAAAAAGTCTTTGAGACATCAGTCTTTGGAACTGAGTCTGGGGTCTTCTTTATAACACAATGAAGTCTGGAATCAGTCAAAGGGCCGCACTTGAGGACCTTGAGGGCGCAGGTTCCTCACCCCTCAACTAAGCTGTAAAGGGAAGCTAAGGTCATTGAAAAGATTTTTAGGAGAAAAAGGAGCACCATGAGGGCAGCTAGGTGGCACAGTGGATAGAGCTCTGGCCTTGGAGTCAGGAGGACCTGAATTCAAATCTGACTTCAGACACTTGACTCTCACTAGCTGTGTGACCCTGGGCAAGTCACTTAACCCTGATTGCCTCAGCAAAAAAAGAAAAAAAGAAAAGATAAAGGAACATCATAGAAAGACTAGGACTATTGCTTGGAATGGATAAGATTTTGATAAGTGAAAACAAAGGCATCAGAACTATTCCATTCTTCTCTCCCAAGAAAAATTACCTTTGTGGCACAAATGACCTTTAAAAAACAGAAGTTAACAAGAGCGATGATCATGGAGGAAACAGAGAGCAATAAAATGCCCTTGATGACTTCACCTAATCCAGATGGACTATATTCTCAAGAACTAAAGAACTGCAGACGCGATAGCTGAACCACTCCCTCTGACGTCCATAACATTGTGGAAATTGAGAGAAGTCAGTAAAACTAGAGAAGGGCAACTGGCCCCTTCCCCCAAGAAAACAAAGAGAACACAGTTCACAAAACTATTAGCCACTGAGCTTGACTTTCATTCTTCAGAAAATTTTAGAAAATAGCATTAATACTTGGAATATTTGTGTAAGAAAAGATTAGAAGTTAGGCTTCCACAACAGAACAAGGGAATTCTGAGAAGGACTTCCAAGATCTTGTGGATAAACCCTCAACCAATCAGAAAGAGCCCCAAACAATCTGTAAACAACTAGTTCCTTAAGAAAGAGTCTTGGAGGCTAAACCGGTTGCAACCCTTTAGGTTCAAGGACGGTCTCAACAGGACAAAGGCTTTTCTCCACTGCACTTGCTTATTGAGTACTAACTGACACGCCCCGAGGGTGGAGATAGCCTCCACTTTTGAACTGGGACACAGGAAGTGGGAGAAGTTAACAGAACTTGGAGGAACATAAGATGGGCTGTTGGGGAAGAGTAGTTCAGATGAACTAGACCAATCCTAGCCCTGGTGGGTGGAGTATGGATCTTACTAATCATTTAAAAGTTGATTCTACCACTGAACCCAGTGCCCATGTGCTACTGAAGTATGTTGTGCCCTTTATAAAGGCCTGTAATGAAGGTTTTCTTTCACTCACTCCTGTAGTGGATTTTTGTTTCAGATTTTTCTAACAATTGGAAAAGGAAGCAGTGACTACCAAGAGCCAGCACAACTTTATCAAAAACAAGCTGAGTCAGATCAACCTTATTCCTTTTGTTTTTTCGAAAGAGTTGTTAAACTAGCAGAGAGGGAGGGTAACTCTATGGATATAGTGCACCTAGATTTTAGCCCAAGTATTTGATAAGGCATCTCGCATTATTCTTATAGAAAGGATAGATTCAGAACGAAGAGGATGGTCAAACTCAGATAAGTCCTGAATGGGTCAGCATTAGCTTGGCATGAGGTCTCTAGTGGAGTGTCCCAGGGGTCTGTGCTTGGAATTTTGTGGCTTGACATTTTTTTATCAGTGACTTGGATAAAGTCATGGAAAGGAAGGAAACAAGCTTTTATTAAGTGCCTATTATGTGCTAACTACTTTAAAATATTATATCATTTGATCCTTACAACCCTGGAAGGTAGATGTTATCATGATCCCTATTTTACAACTGAAGAAACTGAGGCAGGCAGTGCCTGGGTCAAGTGACTTACCCAGGATCACACAGCTGGTAAGTGTTCGAGGCCAGTCTGAATCTAGGTCTTCCTGGCTCCAAGTCCAGCACTCCATCCACTTTGCCCCCTAGCTACTTCTGACATAGATGGCCTGCTCATCAACTTTGCAGGTAACAAGGCTGGGAGGATTACCATTAATATCCAAAAAAAAAAAAAAAAGATCTTGTCAGGCTGAAACATTAGGCCTAATAAATCTAATCTAATAAAAATATAATAGGTATAAATGTAAAGTCTTACACTTGGGTTCAAAAAATCAACTTCACAGGTACAGGAGAGGAGAGTCATGGAATTCAGCAGTTTATCTGAAAAAAGGAGCAGGGAGTTTAGTGGACGGCAAACGCAATGAATCTGAAGTGTGATGGGTCAGCCTAAAAGTTAGCATGATACTGAGGTGCACCAACAGAGCCATAACTTGCAGGAGTAAGGTGAAGTTTCCTCTTCAGGCAGTGTTATCTTCAGCTCTGAGCACCATGGTTTAACGGTGTGACTAAGCCAGAGAGCTTCCAGAAGAGAGTAACTAGGGGGGTGGAGGGCCTTCAGTTCATGCCACATACTGAACTAAAGAAGCTGACACTGTTCAGCATAGAACACCCTCAGAGGGGCCTGAAAGCTGTGCAGACCTGTGGAGGGTGGATGGGGTGGAAGTTGCACGGGAAAATTTAATATTTATGTCAGGAAAAAGGCTTTTAACGTTAGAGACATCCAAAGTGACATGTGCTACCTTGATGAGCTGATTGGTTTCTCCTTCTTGAAAGTTTTCAGAAGTTCTAGATGACATCTCCCCATCCCCCACCCCCCTCCTTAGAGGCATCGAAGTGGTACAGTGTGATACAGCACTGGGCTTGGAGTCAGGAAGACCCAAGTTCAAATCTAGCCTCAGACATTAGCTGTGTGACCTTGGGCAAGTCATTTAACCCATTTGCCTCAGTTTCCTCAACTGTAAAATGAGGATAACCCATCTACCTCTACAGGGTTGATGTGAGGATCAAATGAGATATTTGCACAGTGCCTGGCACGTAGTAGGTGCTCTATATAAATGCTTATTCTCTTCCTCCTTTCTGTTATACTGAATTCCTCTTGGGTATGACCCCTGATGATCCCTGAGATCCCTTCCAATTCTCAAATTGGGAATTCTATTATTTCTACTACATTCCTTCTACCCACCTGGTCATGTCCTAATTACAAAAAACATCTTAAAACAAATCTTTTCATCTCCACTGAATCTCTTTCCCACTCCAGCTCACTCTGAAGGTCAGAAATCTTCTTGGTTGAGATCTTGTTTGTGCTGGGAGTAGAAGATGAATACAAAGGCAGGGACTTGAACCGTGCTTTTTAGGTACTAGAACCTTCATCTTTGCCTGTGGTGCTGTTCCAGAGGTCATCTGATGGCATAAAACTGAGGGGAGGGAAGGCTTACCCAGTTCTCACTGTCATCTCAAGCCTCCTAAAGAAAATGGACCTAAGGGGCAGCTAGGTGGCGCAGTGGATAGAGCACCGGCTCTGGAATCAGGAGGGCCTGAGTTCAAACCCAGACTCAGACACATAACACTTACTAGCTGTGTGACCCTGGGCAAGTCACTTAACCCCATTGCCTAGCCAAAAAATAAATTAAAAAAGAAACAAAGAAAGAAAATGTACCTGGCTTGCTGGCCAGGGTCAGTGAGAGAGGGAAGCCCTGGGGACAGTGGAGGGTGGCCACACCCCAGCAGGTAGGCCATAAATGAAGGGAGGATTGTGTAATTAGTGCTTTGCCCTTTTGTGGTGGACATGACACTGGAAGATGTTGCTAAGGACACACAATAACCCTACTGATATGTCCAAGTTCCTTTATCCCCTGTTGGAGCAATCATCTAGTTCAATCCCCCTTGTTATAGATGAGCAAACTGAAGTCCCAAGAAGGTAAAGGGCTTGCCCAAAGTCACACTTGAGCAAAGCTTGGTCCTCTGACTGCAAATCTTGTATTCTTTCCAGTATATCATTGCTTGTATGTGCATCCTCAGAGCTTCGCCCATGCTTCATCCACCTGCCTCAAGACTCTTCCAAGAGCCGATGGAAAGTGTGTTTATGTGAGGGTAAAGATTTATACTGTTTCACCTTCTTTAGGAGTGAGGGGATAGCAATGGCTGGAGACTCCGGACACTGTCCAAGGCTACCCAGAATAGGAGATGGGGAGAAAGGAACTCAGTCAGGTCATGGTTATAACTCAAGATCCATTAAAATCACTCTAGGCACAGGGGGAGCTAGGTGGCACAATGGATAGAGCACCGGTCCTGAAGTCAGGAGGACCTGAGTTCAAATCTGGCCTCAGACCAAACATTTGACACATACTAACTGTGTGACCCTGGGCAAGTCACTTAACCCTAATTGCCTAAACAAAATAAAAAAAAAATCACTCTAGGCAGAGTCATAACTAATAAATTTTGCATCTAGGGCAAGAGGGCATGAAAATGCCCACAATTCAGCTGGGGAAGGGGGGAATAGTGGAAACTGGGGTAAGTCAGCTGGAATAACTAGTAGCTTACTATTTTAACCACACTTGTTAACTAGGTGTTAACACCGGTTGTTTCTATGCTGCTGAAGCACTGCAAGGAATGCCAGCTTTTCTAAATTTTAGTACCCTGGGCCGAAGCCCTGGTCACCTTTCCTTAGTTAGGGGCACTAAGTCATGTCCCTTGCCCCTAACCCTGTCTCCCAAACACACGCACCAAGCACAACCCACAACCCACACCAAAATCTCAGAGTCAATGAATCCAGACCATATCAGCAGGTAAAAATTATATTTTTATTTTGATTTGAGTTGCCAAGAGGATTCCCGTGTGGGTCTATCAACTGTTCTGAATTAAAAAGGCAAGAAAAATTTGATCCTGGGCACATGCCCACAAGGAGGGAACCAAAACAGACCACCACCACCCCTCCAAAAATAAAAAAAAAAGGGGGGGGGGTAGAAAAAAAGACAATCCCAAATAAAAAAGATTAATTTCCAAAGCCCAGCACTAAAAACACAACTCGAAGCTTCAAATGAACACGCCACACACATATGGAAAAAGTGTTTACACAGAGGCAAATCTAACAGGGTCATTTACGTTTTCTTTTTAAATACAGTTTTAGGTGTTTTTTTTTTTTTTCTTAGCTATAAACAAAGGCCCAAAAGTGCGTATGTGAGAGAAAAGGCAGAAATCAAGCAGAGAGGAAATTCTCTTCCCTGCCCCCCAGGAATTCCCCACAGAAGGAAGGGGAAGGGATGAGGGAGAAAAGGAAAAGAGGGAATGAGATAAGAACAAGTAAACCAGTGTCACAAAGAATTCACAATTCTTAATCATCTTCCTTTCTTGCCAATATTTCTGGTTTTGGTCCCATTTGAGTAAAATTCACATTACAGTTATGTTGTGGTTTGGTTTTGTTTTTCCTGGATCAGAATTGGCTTTAAGAACTGAGGACTTTAAGAAAAGGAGACCCCAGGCTGCCTCCCCTACTGGAACAGTGCTTAACTGAGGGAGAACCTAGGCCAGAAACACTTCGTTAAAGCCAGGCTCAGGTATGACAGACCTTTAATGAAAAATCCTCCCGGTCCAACATTCTCCCCTTTCCCTCCCTCCTTCCCTCCCCACCCCATCCCTGTACCCTACTCCCCACTGTACTTCTTGAGGAGTAACTGATGGTGAGAAATCCACTACAACCCTGTATCCCAAGATTGGGGAAAAGAGAAGACTATGAAAAAGAAGTTGGAGGGGTCTATAGGCTCAAATTGGCTCTTTACGAGGTAAACTGAGATGTGTGAAAATAGGTTATTTCATCCTATCCCTCAAGCCTTCCCTTCTATCTGTACTGTTTCTTCCCACCAACCAACCCCAAACCTTCAAACAGTCTTTGGTCCCAGAGTCAACACTGTGCTTTGAGATTTTCATGAAATAGGCCAACTCCCCACCTCTAGCTTCTTGGACTGCCTCTCCAGGCACTGACATCTCCTCTTCCTCTTGCATCCCAAGTCCCTCAGCTTGCCAACCTGAAGCATGCCTCCTATCCCATCATATCTCCTTCTCTGTGAAGCTAGGATGAAGTCGGGAAAAGGGCTGAGGCAGGAAATGCTGCTCCCCACCAATGTTTGGAAAACATTCTAGTGCCAACACACAACCACATTCTAAAAAAAAATCCCTGATGACTTGGTGCTTGTCAAATGAGCTCTTTTCTTTGATTAAAACTCTCTCCAAGACAGCTTCCACTCTCATCCCATGTACAAAAATATCACTGTCACTTGGAAGGTGAAGAGGCTTGTGAACAAGTTTGGGACCAATGAGAAAAGAACTGATAGAAGCTGCACCCGAAGCCCAAAGAGATGGCAGAGGCTTGACCCTCCAGAGCCCATGAGGATTTTCACAGCTGCTGGTGATGGGAAGAAGGGAAGTTCGATATAGCACCATCTTCCCATTCCTCCCCTAGCATCTGGAGCTCCAGCTCTGGGGCAGCAGTTTCCAGTTATTAGGTTTGTCCTAGGACCTACCCCCAAGTGGAGGTCTGTGTTGGTGGGTGTTTGGGGTAAGAGAATGGACCAGGGAAGTTAGACCAGGAGAGGCTGTGGTGCTCATTGCTGGGAGGTAGTGAGGGAGGGGGGAGGCTGGTGAAGTACCAAGTCCTCCACACCCCTACCCAGAGCTCCTGAACAGCCAGTGAGGGTCAGAGAAGGGCATGAGCACTTAGCTATACAGTGAATCTGTTCAGGAAAAAGAACTCATTCCCATTTCCCCTCCTTTGCTCCCATTCCAAGGATGGGGGGTGGGGATAGGACCAGTTCTACAAAGCCAATCAGATGGCACTTTTTTTGATTTGTAAAGTCATACACAAAAGGAAAGGGACTTTCCCGGTATCCCCACCATTACGTACACTTTTTTACCCAGCAGGCAAAATAGGGGGACAGAGGTATAGGCATGCTTACTTGATCTGGGTAAGGGTAAAGGGGAAGGATCCAAAGGGTCTAGGATAGCCATTACTCTCAGATTAGTTTTTCCTGTCCTCCAACAGCCTCCATACTGGACAGATGTTGGGAGAAGGCAGACAGGTACGTAGTCACCCACACACAGAAAGACTCACTGACCCACAGATGCCCTTTTCTTCCTGTATGAAGAGCCATAAAACACAGAGGTTCCCGCCAAGTTAGCCAAGCTCAGGGCTTAGTGAGCAGGTGGTCTGGGGCAGGGCAGGAAAGAAATGTGGGGCCACAGAACCCCAAACTACCATGTTCTCTTCTATGGTGGACTTAGAAGACAGCAAAGAAGCGATGATGGGAACGGTCATGAAGTAGGCACTAATCAGGTCCACAGAAAGCCCTTGGAGGAAGCTGGGCCTGCACCGGCCATCTAAGGTGCTCCCTCTTTTTTACCCCTCCAATGCCCACAGACACTAGGTGCTGGGCAGAGAGGAGCTCCAGCCCCCTTGGAAGCAGATGTCCGAGAGAATGCAACCTTGATCCCCTGCCTTGCCCTAGCTCTGGGGCACTGAAGGTGAGAGGCAGACTTCTCTGAGGTCTGCAGCTTCTTGTGAGGAATTAATTAAAAGACAGAAATGTTTAAACAGGGATTGTGGTCAGGTCCATTCCTTAAGCTACACTGTTTGAATCTGGATGCCTTGATTAAATCACAGTGTGAACAGGGAGAAAACGGGGCTGGGATGGGGAGAAAGAACAGATAAACCAGAAACTGAAGGAATGGTTGGGGATTTCCTCCCCCCCACCTCCCACTCTCACTCTTTGCTTTTTTAGATCTATCCAAATATGGAAACTAATGCGGAGATGAATGAGACCAAGAGGGGAATCCCCCAGGTGGAGAGGCCTCAAGAAGAAAGCCTGGTACAAACCCAAGCATCGCCTTGTGAGAAACAGTGAGGAACCTCTTACTGGTCCCTAAGACCCTGTTATTCCTTCTTTCCCTGTCCCAGCCCTAGAGGAAGCTGAGAAGGGCCAAGGAACTTCAGGAACCCTGGAATGTTTATTTTGTTTGGGGAAAAGGGGGCAGAGGACAGGTCCAGTAGAGAGAAGGAAGAGGAAGAAGGGAGAGAAATCAGGAGCACCTGTTCCCAAGAGGGATCATGGAATCTCAGTCACTGACCTGTCCGTCTCTCCATCCACCCCCACACGACCCTATGCTCCCCTCCTGGATGAGATTTCCCATTCGCTAAACCCAGAGGGACAACAAAGGAGAGGAGAGAAGGAGAAATCCCTGTGTGAGAGCAGGCCTACAGAAAAAGGTGGGAGGGCTCAGCGAAAGGAAACAGAGCTTAAATTGGCCAAAGAAACTGAGGGGAGGTGGGGGGGGGACAACCTGTCTCAGATTCTAAAAAACAGAAACTACTGACGGGGAGAGAGGTTCACGTCTCACAGGAGCGCAACGGAGGAATGCATCGAAGATGAGGCGGGCGGGCGGGCAAGATGGGAGCTGGGGCAGCACAGCACAGGGCTCAGATGATCTCCACGTAGTTGGCAGGAAGCATGCCCGTTTCGCCAGTGCGCTCCACAGTGCCGTACATCCAGCCATCGTCGATCTGCTGCACGTTCACGATGGTGTCCCCATCCTGGAACGACACCTCGTCCTCGTCGGCTGCACTGTAGTCATACACAGCACGGTACCGCTTCTGGAAGGGGAAGAGGAAAGGGGTAGACATATGTCCACGTCAGCCAAAGGCTTAGGTTTTCCTTCTCCCTGCCCATTTCTTACTTCCATCCCATCAGAGCTTTGGACAAATTACCCTCCAACAGCCAAATCTAGTGTAGAGGGGGAAAGCCTCAGTTTCCTTATCTATAAAATAGGCATAACAACAGCACCTACCTCAGCAGATTGTAGTGAGGATTAAATAAGATAACTTGTGTACTTATAATGTTTTGCAAATATTAAAGCTCAGAGTGATAGAATGAGTATTGGTCAGAGGTAGGATTTGAACTCAGGTCTTCCTGAGTCCCAAGTCAGTGCTCTATGTACTATGGCATGCTGCCTCTCTATATACAAAGCTATATAAATGCCAAATATTATCATCATAGTGGAAAGAGTGCTAGACTTGGAGTTAGAAAGACCTGGGTTTGCATTTTGCAAATTGTAAAATGTTATATTAATGTCAGTTATTATAATTATCATCATTATCATTGTTATTATTACTATTCCAGAAAGCTACATCAGGTCCGGCTCTGGCAGGTCCTAGCAGGCTGGAAAGGCCCGAATAAAGGCTGGGAACTGCTGATTCTGCTCCCAGCACACTGGGATTATTTGTAACACCCCGTGGACTGTAAGTTCCCTGAAGGCTGGTAAATTCCCCATTGTCTTTCAGCTCCACATTTCCAGCATTTAGCCCAGTGCCCTGCCCACAGCAGGAAGGAAGGAAGGAAATAAACATTTATTAATCTCCTTCCACAGGCAGGGTGCTAGGCTAAGCACTTCACAAATAGTTACAAATATTATCTCGTTTGGTCCTCATACAACCCTGGGAGGTAGGTGCTACTATTCCTCACTCCCATTTTACAGTTGAGGAAACCAAGGCAAATAACGGTTAAATGACTTGCCCAGGGTCACACAGCTAATAAATGTCTGAGGTCACATTTGACCACAGATCTTCCTGAGGGTCCCCATTGTCCAGTGCTCTTTGAACAATGATGCCCCTAGCTGCCTCCACAGATACTTACTAAATACATAAATAATAATTCTATAAGGTAAGTAGGGCAAGTATCATCATATACATTTTACAGACGCAGAAACCGAGGCTGAGAGAAGTTAGGGCAGCTTGCCTACAGCCACACAATACGTGAGCACAGACACAAAGCTGGGTCCCCTGATACTAAATCCAGGGCTCTTTCCATATCCCCATGACTGAGCCAACATCATCAGAGGGCCTACAGTACTCCATGGAGAATGCAAGCTTTCCAGTCGTGAGAAGGGTGTCTCACGTATTAAAGAGGGGAGGGTTCAGCGGGATCTGGAATGATACTCGTGGTCCTGGGAAGGGGCTTCAGAGGTCACTTAATCCAATACAGCCTAACAAGGAAAGTGTTTCATCTGAGTCACCAAAAAATAGCCTGATCACAGTTAACTGCTCCCATGTTCCACAGCGCTCTGGGGTTCCAACATTCGTTTACTGAAAACATCCTCTGTCATCCCCAGGAGACAGGTATGACAGGTATTATCATCCCTATTGTACAGATGAGGATCCCATGGTCACTGCAGCTTATAAGTGTCAGACCAGGTGGGCTTAAACTCAGACCCCCTGTCTCCTAAGTCTAACCCTTCCCAGGAAACCATGCTAACCTCCTTAAGAGCATCCCCAGTGCCCACTGTTTAATAAATCCTTCCCCTCTGTGCAAATGGAGGGAATAGGAATAATGATTTGGCCAACCTAAAAATAACATTCCCGAGTTAATCTTCACCTAGCTTGAATGCACACACTGTGATTCTGGAGGTCGCGGTACTCACCCCGCCTGCTCCTGGGGCATTGCGCTGTATTGAGACCTGGGCAGCTGGCTCCTTGTAGCCATAGGACTGTGATGGCTGCTGCTGCTGCTGGTGTTGCTGAGGCTGCTGGTAAACTGAGACATACCACCAACTCAAGGCCACAAAGCCCAGTGGCCCTGTCCTAACATTTTCCACCCACCACCACAGCCCATAACCTGGCTCAAAATACTCCATCCGTCCTGCTGGCCGGTGGACTGGCTGGGGGCCTTCATTCCCCATACCTGGGATACCGACTGCTTCCTGCCAAGTCATGCCCTACTCATCCTAAATCTAAACTCATCTCCTTCAGGAAGTCTTCCCAGACTATTGACCATCTGCCTTCTACGCACGGGTGAGCAGCAGAGCCAGAATATATTCACCTGATCTTGTTTCTGTGTTTGGGGAGCCCCAAATGTATGGCCTGAGGACCCCCTCCCCAATTAAAGAAAGGGCTTTCTCAGGATGGGGGTGGTATTGACTGGTTTTAGATTTCCTTCCCTCATTGACCCAACACTGGATCCTGCCTATGCGATGTAGTTAGGACCATGCCCCTGTGAAGGGCTGGAGAAGAGGGGCAGAGGAGCTGATTGATACCAGGCTATGTCTGCTCAATGAGCTCAGAAGGCAGGAAAGAGCGCACCCATTACCACGCACTAAGTGGCTCATGGACTGACTCCCCCACTGGGGCTCGCCCACTTTCTCCCAGGCTCCTACACAAGTCCCCTGCGGGCACTCATGCCCTCATGGGTCCCATTCCTACCAGGGGCGCTGGCTGGGATGTGATGGGGCAGCTGCTGCTGCTCCTGGGGTCGACGGAAGTTGCTGCCGTCTTGGGAATTTCGGCGTTCTAGGTCAGAGCACTCGCCCCCGCTAGGACCCATCCGGCTCTTCTCGAACTCTTCATGATACTTTATCTGGGGGAGAGAGGAGAATAAGGAGGGGTGAGGAAAGGGGATCAACAGGTAAAATAAGGCTGGGGACTGAGCTTCCCCCACCTCCCTGACAGTCAAACAGAGCTGACAACAGCAGTGGGACTGGCCCTCTCTGTTTTTCCCGAAGGTCCAGGAGGGATAGAGAGAAAAGAAGTAGTCCCTAGTCCAGGGGTGGAGAACCTGCGGCCTCGAGGCCGCATGTGGCCCTCTAGGTCCTCAAGTGTGGCCCTCAGACTGAATCCAAACTTCACAGAACAAATCCCTTTAATGAAAGGTTTGTTCTGTAAAACTTGGACTCAGTCAAAAGGCCGCACCCAAGGACCTAGAAGGCCACATGGGGCTTCCAGGCTCCCCACCCCTACCCTAGTCAAACAAGGATTCCCAATCAGTTGTGGGAAAGGTACATCCTGACCCAAGAAGTTAAAGTCACCATTCATTCTTCATTCATTACCTACTTATTTTACTTTTGACCCTCCCTAATAACAGAAGTACAGTCAAACAAAAATAACTGCTGTCTGACCTCCTCTGATCAAGTATGCAACCATCTGCCCCTGTAGTCCCCCACCTCTGTCTGTAGGTACCACAACCGCCATTCTAATTAGTCTGGCTTCCTTTCAGTGCTCTTTCGTTTAAATAGATTTCTCAACATATTGTTTTCTTTATTTCAAGTGAATCTTCCCACATTTCTCTGACTTTCTCATCTTCATCGTTCCTGGCTGTACAAATTACGTTACATTCACATAACAAAGGGGCTTCAGTCACTCCCCCAAGGCTTCCACTCTGCCTCTCAATTCTTTCTCATCACCAAAAGGGCTATCCATATTTTGGTAGGTGCTGCACTTCTCTGCCTCTGACCCTAGGGAGACACACACTTATTTTAAAGTATCTACTACAGACAGGGCACTCCCACCCCCAGGTGTGCTAAGTCTAGCAGGAAAGACTAGACAGGGCCACGGGTAAACAAAAGAAATGCCACGATTAAGTGCATGTGTACAGGGTGATTGAATGAAGGGCAGATACTCCCTCAAACAGTCTACAGGAGGGTCAGTGAGCTTGGACCTCCCCAATCCAGTCCTCCACTCTCTGTGAGGGCCAAAGATAGTATACACTTTCAGAGTACGTGGGATTCTGGTCCAGTTACACCTGAAGGAGCTGAGACCTTCCACAGCAGTACCCATCACCTCCCTGGGGTTTCAGAGACACTTAAGAAGATCAGGGTCAGATGAGGGTAGATTCTGATGCTGCCTTACTCTTGTCCAGCAGATGGCACTAAAAGATTAAGCCAATGGGAGAGTGGACCCAATGGGCATAGGAAAGAACCCAATGGTCAGGCCCTGCTTTGGGGGAGGGAAAGGTGAGAAAGGACAGCATAGAAAAAAAGGAACGTCAATGAAACATTTTCAGAATGCACGGACAAGAACAGAGGGAAGACCAAATGGAGGCCCAGTACCCGGCACATAGTAGGCACTTCATAAATATTTAATGATTGATGGATGGAGGCATAGACAAGGAGGATAGCACTGCAACCTGTGTGTGGAATTAAAAAAAAAAAAGAAACAAGCTGTAAGTACAGGAGATTTGTAGTTCTGCGCACACCCCTCTTTTTTTTTGTTCACTGAAATGTTGTTTTGTTGATGTTTGTGACATTCATAATAAAAAAGAAAAATTGGGGGGGACAAGAAGGATAATATATTTGGGGAGATGGGGGGGATCTGCACTAGTGAAAGTATATAGGGAGAAGTATTTACCCCATGATTTAAAAAAAAAAGTCAGAGGTTCCTTAACTCTATCTCCAACATGGACGTAAGCAGAACAGACAAATGTTAGCTCTGGGAGAGAGAGACTCAGAGGTCAGCTGATCCATCCCTCCACCTCCAGACCAAACTGTAACTCAACCATCCCAAGACAGGAGAAAATCTCATTTGAGTGGGGATGACAGAGATTGCCAGATTCTTTTTTTTCTTTTTTTTTTTTTGTAGTGGCAAAGAACTGGAAACAAAAGGGATGGCCAACAACTGGGAAACAGCTGAACAATGATGGTACATGAATGTAATGGAATATCACTGAGCCATAAGAAATGACAAAAGGGCTAGTTTCAGAGAAACCTAGGAAGACTTGTATGAACTGATTCAGAAGGATATGAGCAGAACCAGGAGAACAATTTATACAATAACAACAATATGGTAAAGAGAAACAACCATAAAAGACATGATTGGAGAAATGACCAACTATGATTCCAGAGGATTCATGATGAAGCATGCCACTCACTTCCTGATTAGAGAGCTGATAAACTCAGTACTGATGGAGACTTTTTTTTTTTGACATGGATAATGTGGGAACTTGTTTTGCTTGACTATATTTGCTATAAGAGTTTTTTGTTTTGTTTTGTTTTTTGAGAGGGGTAGGAGGAGGGAAGAGGTGAAAGGGAGAGAAGGTGGATTTTTCACCACCTGAAAATTGAAATTAAATTTTTAAAAAGAGATTATTTGACAGTGACCAAACTCCTTGAAGTTCCAGGAGTACTGGATTCTAGCCAATCACTAATTAGGCAGATTTGATCAAGTCATCAGTCAGTTCTATTATAGTGGGGATTCCTTTAGTGAATGGGTTGGATTAAATGACTTCTAAGGTCACTTCTAGTTCTTTAACTTCTATGATTCTGTGTTATTTTGTTACTTTTCAAAGGGCAACTGGGTGGCATAACGGATAAAGTAAGGAGCTTGGGAGTCAGGAAGAGCTGAAGTCAAATCCTGTCTCAGACATTTACTAGCTGTGTGACCCTGGGCAAGACACTTAACTGCTCCGTGCCTCAGTTTCCCCATCTGTAAAATGGGGATTATAAATAACCCCTACACCCCAGGGTTGTTGTGAGGATCCAATGTAATAACATGTAAAGCACTTTGCAAACCTTGAAGTTTCTTAATCTGTAAAATGGAGTGAATCTCTGTCCTGGTGAACAGATAATGAAAAACACCTCCATTGTGATGGGGGCTGGGGGAGTGGACAGTTGCCCACAGTCTGTTGGTTTGGTTTGTTAACTGCTTTTCTTTGTTACGCGGTAGGGCTCAGAGGAGGATGTGGGAGCAGGGAAGGGAGGGAAGGAGGGGTAACCTGAACTCATTCCCCTCCCCCACTCTTAAACCCTTCCCTGTCTCATGAACTTCCCTCATAGGGTCCAGGGCACCAGCACCTTCCAATCACCCAGGCTCATGACCTCAGTGTCACCTCAGCTCTCTCCCTCCTCCTCCCCCCTCCCACACCTTTCCCTCTCTCTTCTTTTTCTCTCCTCCCTTCACTCCACCCCCACCCTTTTCTTCAAGCCCCATAAACCAACCTAGTCCCTCACTGTCACCTGACTCCTCTTCAGTCTCTCATCCACGGGTGGAGCCAAGATGGCAGAGAAAAAGGAGTGACTTGCTTGAGCTCTCCCCCAAATCCCTCCAAATACCTGTAAAAAATGGCTCTAAACAAATTCTAAAGCAGTCAGTCTCTCATCCGTTCCACAATCCAGTCCAATACTTTCTCATCATCTCTTGAACACAGCTCCTTCCCAGGCACAGACACCACCCTAGCTCAGATCCTCATCACCTTGTGCCTGGACTATCCCAATAGCCTCTGACCTGGTCTCCCTGCCTCAAGTCTCTCTCCACTGAAGCTGATCTTCCAGAGTTTTCTAAAACACAGGTCTTACCATGTTACTTTCCCTCTCAGTGAACTCCAAAGTCTTCCTGTTACTGCTACAATCAAATATAAATTCCTTTCCTTGGCATCTAAAGATCTTAATAATGTGGCCCTTTCCTATCTTCCGGTCTTTTTAACACATTACTCCCCTCCCTGAATTTTACAGACCAGCCACACTGGCCTTCTAGCTATTTCTCTCACAATCATTTCCCACCTCCATGCCTTTGCATGGGCTGTCCCCCATGCCTAGAATATCCTGCCTTCTAACCTCTGACTCTTTTTTTTTTTTTTGGTGTGGCAATTGGGGTTAAGTGATTTGCCCAGAGTCACACAGCTACTGAGTTTTATGTGTCTGAGGCCAGATTTGAACTTAGGTCTCTGACTCTTAAAATCCCACGATCAAGGGGCAGCTAGGTGGCACAGTGGATAGAGCACCAGCCCTGGAGTCAGGAGGACCTAAGTTCAAATCTGGCCTCAGACCAAACACTTGACACTTACCAGTTGTGTGACCCTGAGCAAGTCACTTAACCCCAACTGCCTAAAAATTAAAAAAAAAAAGAATTTAAAAAAAAGAAAAAGAAAAAAAAATCCCAGGATCAACTCAAGGGCCACGTCCCCAGGAAGCCTGTCCTAGTCCCCCTAGCAACTAAGGCCTTCCCCACTAAAGCCACCTTCCATCTCTTCTGTATTATCTCATATGGAATGCTTTATGCATAGATTTGTTTCTGCTCTGCATCTCTAACACTTAGTACAGTCCCCAGAACATAGCAATAGTTAAATAAATGCCTATTGATTAACTGAGTTATCTAATTAAAACGCCCCTAGCCAGTGAGCCACTTAAGTCGGGGCTAGAGAGATCAACTCCACAGGATCTTAGGGAAGTGGATTCTAATCCTGGCCTGGCGGCTCACGGGTCCTTGGGGATGCCACTGGGCAGTTACATTACAGGAGGAACTTCTTCTGTGTATTGGCTGTGGCAGAGGTGGCTGGGGAGGAGCAGTGCCAGTGTGGCTTCCTTGTCTCCCAACCACTCTTATAGCTACTGGTTCTGTTCTCTACATGACCTCAAAGATTCCTTCCCATGCTAAAAGTCAATTATTCTGTCTGGAGGAAGAGATCTCCACAATCCGCCATTGGAATCTAGGGGCCAAGACTACAAGGAAGGCATACTTGAGTCTTTGCCAACATAGGCAGGTGGAATGGCTTTTTTATCAACGGGAAAGAAACAACCGGCCTGCCCACCAACTCCTGGTGCAGCTGGCAGGGAGTAAAGGGAAGTAGGAAGGTTTAACAATTGTATT